TTTTGCTGCCACACCGCATCGTTCTAAAAAAGGCATACCTAAACTGAATATGATGATCGCATTCTCTCAAATCCGGCGGGTGCTTGCAGAGGTGCTTCTGCTCAAGAACGGCCGTGACCAGCCACCGCGGGGGGCGCGGAAAGGGGGGTGAGGGCCCCGGGCTCCGCCCAGGAGAAACGGCCACCGTCCCACCAGTCTGGGAACTAAACAACTAGACGTGCGTGCGCTGTTCCAGAGTAGTGAAATAAACAAGACTCATCCGGAGCTGTCACCGCAGCAGAATGGAAAGGAAACCACCGCGCGCTTTCTCCCACCGCCACGGTCCTTCTCTCAGAATTGTCGAAAACAAGGACGATGTTCTTGATGAGGAAAAAGAGGACAAACACAAGCGTTCGGAGGTCCGCGCGGATTTCTCGGATCGGCGCTGGTCATCCTCCAGGCGCGCGGAGCGCGCCAGGGGCGCCGTAAGCGCCACCAGGAGTTTCAGCGCCGATCCAAGAAGTCCGCGCGGACCTCCCCCCCAATCAGTTTGTGTTCCTTTTGCTGTTTTTCTTACGAAGCGGGGCGTCAGGGCCCCGCAGCGTTAGCTGGTGATTAATAGAAGCAAGCGGGGCGCGTGATTGACAAAATGATCCCTTGCTTGGGCGAGTCGCGGGGGAGGGGGCGCCAGCCAAATGGAAACACAGGACAGCGGCGCCGAAGATTAGCGCCGACGCCCGGCCGCCAGCGAGGGGGCGATCGGCGCGACGCAAGCAGCCCCGCGTCAGCGGAGGGGGACAACGCCGCCGCTGCTGTAATGGGGCGGTTGGGCCAAACTGGCGAATTGTAGACAGGAGAGAAAAACGCAGGCGGGGGAAAGAGGCGCTTCAACTGGCGGGCGGCGCAGACACGGCTACAAACCAGAAAAAGAAGAGAGGGGGAGGAAAGGCAGACGCAGGCGGAAAGGGCTCCTCTTTCTCCTCCATCCCATAAGCTACGGCATGTCCTACGACGACGACGACGACGACCTGTGGTTCGTCAGTAATTAGCCAGAGAAAAGGAAAACCTTCGCTTCGGATGTACGCAATTCTTACAACAACCTCTATACGGAATGCAATCGGTTTGAGGCTAGCGTGCAGAGGGCACACGATCCACTCGGCGGCGCCAGCGACGACCCCCGGTCGCGCGTGATTCAAACAATTGTTGCGCGCCCCGCGGGGTCTATTCATCTGCCCCGGGGGGGCCCTCCATCATGTATTTCTCACAAGCTGGCATGACATTCAGAGTCTGGTGGGCCAGGACACTAGAACACCCCATAGAAGTATGAAGCCGTGAGCAAAAACACACCTCCCCTTTTTCATTTCCTCCAGATCGACATAACAATGTAATGTATCTGGGGTTCCCAAAACGTTGCGGTGACAGACCGCGCGGTGACCTTAAAATCCCAAGAGAAGATACCTCACCGCACGGCCTGTCACCGCATGGATTTTGGAGGGCTTGGAGGCCCCACCCGAGACATCACCAACATACTCCAGATTTCGTAATAAAAGGGAGGTTGTCTGGACCCTCCAAGACAAGCCATTTCAGAACCTCCCCCCGTGGGAGAACCCTCCAAAACATCGTCCCCAGACCCCCCCAGGCCCTCCAAGATAGCCTGGAAGAGACCCCCCCGAAATGAGACCCCCCTGCCTGTATTACGAAATCTGGAGTAAATAGCGCAGTGACCCCCAATGTCTGGCCTCAAAGCCATTGCTCGAATATCGGGCGACCGTCCGAGACGATCTGGGAATCTCGGCGAGGCGCAACTTCGGGAACGCATCCCAAGGCAGGAACCCCGGGAACCGACGAGGACGCCCCACAGAAAAAAACGAAGCACAAACCATGTTCTCACAAACTTGACCCCCTATCGTCGAGAACACTTGTCTCGAACTGACGATGGGTTGTGGCCGAAAAAGCTATCAGTCGAGCTGAGCAGCTCGCTCGTGCCCGCTAATTCCTGCACCACTACGTGGGATAGCCTGTTCCTGTTCCTGTTCCTGTTACCCCCTAAAACAGGGCTAGGATCTGGATAAATCGCTCCAGAGCGTTCTGGAGCGCTCTCAGAGCGTTCCGGAACGCTGTGGAGCGGCCGCGGCCCCCAATACATCCTCCAAACCCGCCGATTCTCAGAGATTTCGAGTTATCCCGATCCGATTCTGTGCCAGTGCCAAGTTGGGGTTTTAATCTCAGTCAGTCAGTAACCGACACGGTCGCAATATCCGTAACTCCGTAACTCCTCCCCCTCCTCCTCCTCCTCCTCCTCCTCCTCCTTCTCCTCCTCCTCCCACTCCTGCTCCCCTTCGTCCTCTTCCTCCTCCTCCTTTGCTCCTTCTTGTCCCGCTCCTCCTTCTCCTCAACGCGTCCTCTTCCTCACCCTCGCCCGCAGAAGGCGCCAGCGGTACCAGAGTGACCAGGCAGTGCCAAGGAGGAGGAACAGAAAGGAGGAGGAGGAGGAGGAGGAGGAGGAGGAACGGGAGGAGGAGAGAAGAACTGGAGGATGAGGAGGAGGAGGAGGAGGAAGAGGAGGAGAGACGGGAGGAGGAGGAGGAGGAGTGAGGAAGGAAGGAACGGGGAGAACGGTGGAAAGAGGCGGAGGAGGCGGAGAAGGAGGAGGAGGAGGAGGAGGAGGGGGAGGAGGCGGAGGAGCAGAGGAAGCGGGAGCTCCCGCTCCCGCGCGTCGTTGCGAGCGCGTGCCCCGCGGGTGGCCGGTGCCCCGCGGAGGTCGGGCCGTGGCGCACCGCGGCCGAAAATTCCTATAGGGCAGCCGCCGCATTGGGCGCCGCGGGTGTCGGCGGGCGGCGCGCACCGAGGGGGTCGCGGGTGATGGGCGGCCTGTCTGAGGAGCCGGAGGAGGGAAAGAGGGAGGGCGCTATAGGGGAGGGAGGGAGGGAGGGAGGGAGGGAGGGGTACGGCCGACCAGGAGGGGATACCGGTATCCGACCTCATACCCTTCTCTTTCTTTCATATCATCTTGTGACCTTCCAGGGCCCTCCTCCCTCCTTCTCCTCTCACTCCACTTCCTTCTCCTCCTCCTCTCCTCTCCTCCTGCCTCTCCCTGCTCCTGCTCCTCCTCCTCCTGCCTCTCACTGTCACTGCTCCTGCTCCTCCTCCTCCTTCCTCCTCCTCCCCCCCTTCGCCTCCCCCTCCTTTTCTTCCTTCAGCCTGGTTTTCGAAGTCTCCAGACCTTGGGATTTTTAAAAATTCTAAAAATTTTGAAAATTTTAAAAATTTAAAACACTTTTGAATTTTTAATTTTTTAAAAAATTTTTAAACATTTAAAAGTTTGGGGGGTCCGGAGTTTCTGGGGGGTCCTGGCCGCCTGGTTTGCGGATTTCCCAGGCCCTGGGATGTTTAGAAATTTTAAAAATTTTTAAAAATTTTAAAAATGTAAAAAACACTTTTGAATTTTTAAAATTTTTAAAATTTTTAAGAAATTTAAAAGTTTGGGAGGTCCGGAGTTTCTGGGGGTCCTGGCCGCCTGGTTTGCGGATTTCCCAGGCCCTGGGATGTTTAGAAATTTTAAAAATTCTAAAAATTTAAAAAATTTAAAACACTTTTGAATTTTTAAAAATTTAAAAGTTTGGGAGGTCCGGAGTTTCTGGGGGGTCCTGGCCGCCTGGTTTGCAGATTTCCCAGGCGACTCCCCCCCAGGCGTGTAACGGTGCAGTTTAACAGAAACGGTCTTCAAGATTTTCTGCTACCTCTGGGAGGTTGGATTGGACCCCGACTCCGAACCCAACGCCGACGACGCCGCCGCCGCCGACGACGACGACGGCGGCGGCGGCAGCGGCGGCGACGGTGGTGGCGGCGGAGGCGGCAGCGGCGGCGGCGACGACGACGACGACTACGGTCGATCGCCGGCGGTGTCCGATTCGTCCCGCGTGGCCCGGACCGCCACCGGGGACTCGAGCTGCGACCGGAAGGGCCGCTACCGGAAGGTGCGCTGTCGGCACCCCGCGGGCCGCTACCACCTCTCGTCGTCGCCGCCGCCGCCGTCGTGGTCGTCGTCGTCGTCGTCGTCGCCGTCATCGTCGTCGTCGTCGTCGCCGCCGCCGCCGCCGTCGTCGTCGTTGCGGTCGTCGTCGTTGTGGATGTCGTCGTCGTGGTCGTCGTCGTCGTCGTCGTCGTCGTCGTCGTCGCGGTCGTCGTCGGCGGCGCCGTCGTCGTCGTTGCGGTCGTCGTCGTTGCGGATGTCGTCGTCGTCGTCTTCGTCGTCGTCGTCGTCGTCGTCGTCGTCGCGGTCGTCGTCGGGGGGGGGCGGCGCCGTCGTCGTCGTTGCGGTCGTCGTCGTTGCGGATGTCGTCGTCGTCGTCGTCGTCGTCGTCGTCGTCGTCGTCGAGGTCGTCGGCGGCGTCGTCGACGGCGGCGGCGGTGGCGGCGACGGCGGCGCCGTCGGCGGCGGCGGTGGCGGCGACGACGGCGGCGTCGTCGTCGGCGGCGGCGGCGACGGCGACGACGACGACCACGACCACGACGACAACGACGACGGCAGGGCTCTCGGGAGAGGCATTTTAGATAGGGCGATCCCTATAAAACGGGGGGCATTTTCGATAGACCGGTCTCCCTGAAACGGGATGGAATTTTAGGGGGACCGGTCCCCCTAAAACCGGATGGGATTTTAGGGGGACCGGTTCCCCTAAAAATGGCCCCTATTTTAGGGTGACCGCCACCCTCGGCTGATGGCTCGAAATGTCCGTTCGGGCGCCCCGTATAGGCACACTCTTGGAGTCAGCTTGGGGAGCCTCTTAGGCCGTTTTGGAGGCGGCGTGGGCCGTCTTGGGGCCTTCTTTGGCCGTCTCAGAACCATCGTTGAGACCTCTTGAGCCGTCTTGGAGCGATCTCGGGGGTGCATCTTGAGGTGTTTTGCAGGCCTCTTGGGAGAGGCATTTTAGAGATAGAGATCCCTATAAAACGGGGGGGGGGGGGGCATTTTCGATGGACCGGTCTCCCTAAAACGGGATGGGATTTTAGGGGGACCGGTCTCCCTAAAACGGCCTCCGCGGAGGCCGCGGAGGCCGTGGCGGAGGATTCGCGGAGGATTCGTGGCGCCTCCGCGTGATGCTGGCGGAGGCCAGGATGAAGCACGCCTCGGCGTGGGCGTCGATCCGTCAGTTCAGGGACCTGGGCGATGGCGGAATGGAGCACGAGGTGGTGGGCCAAGTCGACGACATGGAAACCCTGGTCGAGAGGGCGGCCGCGCCCGCTCTGGAGTGAGGTCGGCGGCGGCAGAGGGCGGAGGCTACGGCTTCTGGCCGACTCGGAGGGGCCGCAGTCGGTGCGTACATTAAGACATGTATTTGAAGTCCACCAGAATGATCTGCCGCGGCCGCCCCTCCCCCCTCTCCCCGCCGATTGCCCGAGCTCAAGTGGGGAGAGCCGTGAATCCTGGCTATCTGGGAATCCAGGAGCTGGCCGTTGGATGTTCGTTGGCGCGCGTGCTCTGGGCGAGGTGCGAGAGTTGATTAGCGGGGATGCGGGGAGAGGGAGGGGGCATGCCGACGTCGCTGCCTGTCTCGGAGAGCTCGCCCCCGCAGCGGCTGGATTCATATCGCAATCCTCGTCAGAACGCGTGCTAGGAGTGATCTGGGAAGCAGTGGCATCGGCTTCGTCGGGTCGACGGGGCGCTGTGCCATCGCCGCGTGGGCTCCAGATCAGGGGGTGCCTTGCCTTGCATTAGCGCGGCTCGCGGCACCGCTGACCCACTGCCATGGGAGCGCGGCCCGTGGCGAGGCGGCCCGCGGCCCGCCCTGTCCTGCCGACCATCGGAAAGCGGTTGACCGCCAGGGCGGCGGGCGCCAGGGGGCCCGCCGCGGCGCGGACGGCCGCGAAGCGACCAGCCGCGGCGAGGGGGCGCCAATGCCAGGCCCGACACCAGGACTCGCTATTTTGAACTCCCCTCATGATGAACAAAAAAACGTTGACGCCAACGCTCAGCCCTGGCCCGGGTAAATTTCAAGGCTGGGGTTTCGGAATCGGGCTTCGTTTGGGGGTTAAGGGCGACAGTATGCCGTGTTCCGAAATATTCAGCCGAATTCTGATGCCCTTTCAGCTTGTGATTTTAGGAGTCGGGGGCTCGTTTCCTTACAGCCCAGGAGTTGGCGAAGTATATAGTGGAGGAGATTCGTGACCACATCGACCCGACTGAGAAGGGCGGCGCCGAGAACGCCGGCGCCGTGCTCGAGTGCCCTATCTGCGGGAGAATTCTTTCGAGGCCGCAGAGGGCGCGGGAGCATGCGAAGAGCCATCTGGAGGGCAAGTTCGCGTGCATCCACAAGACGCTCCTGACCGATGTGCAGATCTCGCACCCAGTGATCGCGGCGGTGCAGCGCTCCCTGTACGACCGCGACATCCTCGCGGGTTGCCCGCGCAGCGGCTACGCGTCCCGCGCGAGGTCGCTCATCCAGGGGTGGATCGGCTTCACCGCGACACCCGGTGGGAGAGATTCGCTCTACACCGCGACGGGCCACAAGCGCGACTGCGACCTGAGACTGGTCCTGACTGACACCGGCCCGCAATATTGGTTACATTCCGACGAGAGGCTCCGCTTCGCTCGGAAGTTCGGCGGCCACTACTACACTATGGCGTTCGGTAACATGTACGCGCGCTTCTTGCTCGACGCAGGAGGAGTGCACGGCCGCGCTTTCCGCTCTCTCAAAGCGGCATGGGCCCGCGGTGGCTGCGAGGTGGGATCGCTCGCCAACCGGCGCACTGGCACCATGATAGCGCTGATGTTGGACATTGCCGAGTCGAAAGCCTTCGAAGACTTTGTGGGCGCACAGGTTCTGAAATGCGCTGACGTCGGCGGCCTCAGGTCCATCTCTATCGACGCGACGTACAAGGTCGCACTCAAGGTTTCCGGACAGACCCGCGCGCAGAAGCACAACGTGTTCAGCGTGATCGGATACCATGGCGAAGTGTTGGGGCTCGCTCCCGGGTACGCAGAGCGCCCAGAGGCATTCGCCGGCGCAGTGGAGCGCTCGGCGCCCCCCGAGCTCCGCTCGCGCGTCGAGCACGTGGCGAGCGACGTCGTCGGGCGCAAGGTTTGCGAGGAGATGCAGAAGATTCTCCCGAATTTGCAGTGCGTATCCCTTGACCCGTTGCACCTGGCGTTCTCCGTGGACACCCACACCTCTAAGCGCCGCGTGCGACCGACCGCGGTCGGCCTCGTCATGCGGGCTGTCTTGGGGAAGTTCTCCGTGGCCGACTACGCGCGGAGGCGCGAGCCGTTTCACTGGGGCACTGGCGCGGCCAGGGCATCCGCTCAGGAGCAAGCATTCATCGAGCGCATACGGAGGGGCGACATGGGGCACCGCCGAGCGAAGAGCATCCTCAGCGACATGGACCCTAACGCGCCGATGCAGTCCAGGGAGCAGTTTGCCATGTTGATGGCGGCCATCGCGCGCGTTTACCCGGAGCGGATGGACGTGCAGTACGATAAGGGCACACTCCGGGCGCAGTTCATTGCGGCGTGTGCCCCCGATCGAGCGGAATTCTACATGAACAACATCCGCTACAGGGCGCGGCTCACGCCGGAGGAGAACAGCTCTCTCGGCGTTGGAACGACTCGCAACGAGCAGATACACTCGTGCATCAACGCAAATTTCCGCCAGTTGACTCGCGTGGATGCCAGGACCATGAAGGCCGAGCTCGCGCTGTGGGCGGGGTGCGAGACCACGCTGGCGTCGAGGGCTTTGGGCGGCAGGGCGACCTCGAGGGTGCGGCGCGCCGATATGAAGGCGACCGTGGTCAACTCAGTCTCGCTGTTCGACGCTGAGAACTGGCCGGTGCACGTGGGCCTAGATGAGACGGAGTACCAGGCTTCCGCCCCTCCTGTGGAGGGCGATTTGCGCCCGCGCAGGCGCGGGCCGTCCCGCGTGCAAGAAACTATCTTGCAGGCCATTAGGGCGATGGTGAACAAGTCGACCAGGAAGAAGCTGTTTGACCTCTCAACCAACAAGCGGTCGATCTAAACGCTAACCGAAGAGTTGCCTCTCGCAGCCTGCGGGCCGCAGTGTTTCAATGCGCGAGTGTAAGCAGGTCTGGTGCAAGTGTACAGCGGGTGCGAGCGCGACCCTGCGCTGGCCGGGATGACATGCGCGACTGCCGCGCAACGCCGCGCTGGAAGCCCGCGGCGTCTGGCTCGACGCACGATGCGCGGGTGCCATGCGCGGCCAAGGGTGCACTTAATTCAGTTAGGATTTACACGGCGATCGGGCGTCGCCCGACGGAGGGGGGGGCAGCCGAGATGGCCACTGCCCTGCACTGGAGGGGCATGTGCAGAGGGTGAGTGGCTGAGCAGGCCAATACGCGGGATTGAGAGCTTGAGCATATGTTCATACTGTTTCGCCTCGCGATCGTCATGGGTAAAACAGAGCTGCCTCTCTTCAAACGCAGTCCACTTTCTAGCTGTAGGTCGGACCCCAAGGGGCCGATCGGACAGTTTTCACAACTCTTGGACAATGGACATCACACTTGTTTCGACCCCCGCTTGTGGCTAAGAAAGCCCCGATAGGGTCCAGGAGTTGATCCCAAGATGACCCCGATAACGTCTTCAATCCACAAAGAAGGTGCTCAAGAGACCCCCTGAGGGCCCAAAGAGGTTCCCATGATGTCTAAAACGGCTCCAAGAGATTACGCGCGCGCTGTTGTTGTTTCTGTCGGTATGCGCGTCGTACATTCGTAGTTGTATCATGTGTACTGGTATTTGTCATGATGCCTATACTATGTTTCTACATGTCTCTGTATATCTGCATAACACATACACATATATGCCATCTGTTTTCTATGACCATGTATGTATGTATTTCTATGACTATATACATATATATATATATTAATATATATGTTAATATATGTTAATACATATATATATATAATATGGTATATTGTTTATGTGTGTATTACGACGGATCAACCTTACGAAGTTTAAGAACAAATCATTATGTCCTGCCCCGAAACGGTCCTGGGGGGGGGGGGCGGACGCGGCCATATGCCAACCAAATAAGTGAACCAAGCCCTGCGCTCTCGGAGGGTCTTCGGTTCACTTATTTTCGGTACCCAGAAGTCCCAGGGATCTGCCCCAAACAGCCCAAGACAGCCGCGGGGAGCCCCAAGAGAGGGCCTCGTGGCGCCCCGAGACGGCCAGGATGTCCACGGAAACCGCAGGAGGCCACAGGGGTTTCCAGAACATCCCAGAAGGCCCCAGGATATCTCAGTAGGTTACAGGAGGTACCAGGATATCACAAGAAGCCCCAGAAGGCCCCAGGAGGCTCCATAATGCATCAGGAGGTCCCAAGCGGGTCCAGACGGTCCTATGAGGCACCAGGAAGTTTCAGGAAACCTCAGGAGGTACCAGGGGCTCCAGAAGGCATCAGGATGCCCCATGGGATCCAGAAGGCCTCAGGATGCCCCATGTGTTCCAGAAGGCTTCAGGGGGCCCCATGGGCTCCAAAAGGCCTCAGGGGGCCCCATGGGCTCCAGGAGGCCTCCAGGAGGCCTCAGGAGGCCCATCCGGGGGGATACCCGTATCCCCTCCTGGTCGGCCCGACGGGAGGGAGGGAGGGGAGGGAGAGGGGAGGGAGGGCGGGAGGAGGGGGAGGGGGGGGCGGGGAGGGGATAGGGAGGGGAGGGGAGGGAGGGAGGGATGGAGGGGGGGGAGGGGAGGGCGGGAGGGAGAGGGAGGAGGGAGGGAGGGAAGGATGGGAGGGCGGAAGGGGGGAGGGAGGGGCCCTTTGGGGATCACCGTAAACACCGAACAAAGGTGCCCGACCACGTGCGCCAGGCAGGCCCGGAGTCACGCGAAGGCCAACCTGCAATAGGCGAGCCGACGCGAGACCCTGGCCTGTGCAGGTAAGACAGAACGGGTGTGCCCAGCCAGCGCAGCAAAGCTTTCCTGCGAACGCGGCCGAAACCGTGGGGCTTTTTCGAAGAGAATGAGGCTTCCGAGAAAGCTCCTCAGAAACCTTAGGCCCGTCAAGAAAGCCGCTATCTTCTACGTAAGATTCGGGCACAGACTAACATGGAATAGGGACCCGTGGACCTGGCGCCGAACCGAGAAGCCAAGGCCGCCTGATTTGGCGACAAAGGGCGCCGATTCTGCACGAAAGCGGCACCCGTCGCAGATCCCCAGGTGCCCCAATCCACGCTTGCTCTTCCTCGAAAGAAGGCCCCCGCCTTGGTTAGAGGCCTCCTGGATGGGGTGCGAGCAGGTGGGGTCGGAGGAGTGCGCCGCATCGGCGACGGCGATGCATCGGCGGTGCACCGGCGATGCATCGGCGCCGTGGGCGTGGAGAACATCGGGTTCAACATCGAGACGCATCGCCGATGTGTCGTCGATACGGCGCGGTCCTTCGACCCCCCTCTGGGAGGTCTAGATTTAAGTCCGGCGTCCCCCTACAGGGGAATTATGGGCGAAAGTCAAAAATACTCAAAAAATGCCACCCCAAGAGGGCAAACATAGACAAAAGATCGTCCCCAAACTACTGTTTGACTATCTTTGACTGTTCCCCCTGTAGAGGGACAGGCCCGACTTAAGTCTAGAGTGTTAGAGGGACAGGACCGACTGAAGTCTAGATTGGTACAGGGCTGAACCTAAACGGTGTTTTCCGTTTTCGTTTTCCCTCGTTTCGTCTCCAATCCGCCTCTACCGCAAAACGAAATCGAAACGACAACGGCCCACGAAATCGCCAACACACCGTGTAGGTCCAGCCCTGGATTGGTAGGGAGGCCGCCCCCCGCACACCACCCCCGCCTGCGCGCCGCCCAATATTTGGGGGGGGCGCCAGGTGCACGGTTTCCCCCGGGGCCGTAGGCGACCCGGGGAGGAGGAGGAGGAGGAGGAGGAGGAGGAGGAGGAGGAGGGAGGAGGAGGCAGGGGAGGAGAGGGGCGGGAGGGGGGGGGGGAGAGGGAGGAATGAGGAGGAATGAAGAAGGGAGGAGGAGTAGGACGGAGGAGGAGGAAGGAGGAGGGAAGGGGTTCGCGCCTAAGCCCTTCGGAGAAACCCTCCAGCGCCAGGTGCCCGCGCGCGCCAGGCCCCTGCCGCGACGGCCCCGCGGCGCGCGGCCTCCGACGCCGCGCGGGCCGCGCACGGCCTCGGGCGGCCACGGCCCTCCGGCCGTGGAGAGCCCAGTATCGAATCGACAAATCGGATCGGCGATCGAAATGGATCGGATCGGCGGCAAATCGGCAGCCGAGTCGGGAAAAGTCGAATCGGCGGAAATCGGCAGGCTATTATGCCTCCAATAAGGAATCGGATTCCGAATCGAAATCCGAAGCCGAATCGAATCGGAACCGGAAGCCATCGAAATCGAATCGAATCGAATCGGAAGCATCGAAACGAGCCCTGTCCGGTCGTGAAGATGCCTCGACCTCGGCCGACTCCTCGCCAGCCTCGAGCTTGTCCCTACCCTTAAGTCGGGCCTGTCCCCCTAGAGGCCGATTTCGGACGAGAAATGAAAAATACCCCAAACATACACTGCACATGTTCAAAAATGAGCAACAAATAGTCCCCCGACTATGTTGTACTATGTTTGAATATTCCTCCTGTAGAGGGACGGGCCCGACTTAACCCTACCCCTGAGGTCGGCAAACCCAGGAAGATGAGAATCGTGTTGGACGCTTGGAAATGGGCACCAGCACCAGCACCAGGGGTTGCCTCCACGGGAGGAAGATGATCCTGGATTTTGGTGTTGGTGGCAATCTTTCGGCCGCCTAGGCAGCCCGAATCTTGCCACCATCACCGAGATCGGGATGTTCTCCCCTCGGTGGATGCACACCGCCGATCTTGGTGTTGGTGTCAATCTCTGGGCCTGCGATCGCAGAGCTGTGCCCTCAGAAGCTGAAGGAATCCTGAGGATCGGCGCCGAGGTAAGAGGATACCGAAGATAGGGATATGGTTAGGTCGGGCCTGTCCCCCCACAGAGGGCGCTGCGCAGCCTCATCCTGAACACCTACTGGTGCCAGGCCAGGGTAGGAGCGGAGGGCCCCTCTGTCCCCATGAGTTGCCAGCTCTGCGGCCACCCCAGCGGGTCCCTCTTCCACAGGCGTTTCCGGTGCGAGGCTCATGATGGCTGGAGGCGGGAGTTCCTGGAGTCGCCCCTGCGGGAGGCGGCGGGCCGAGTCGAGAGCTTGGGCTACCCGTTCACGGAGCTCTTCGCCGGGGGGCTGTTCCAGGGCATCTCGGAGTTGGTCCAGAGACCGCATCGAACCGACGACTGCTTCAAGCACGCGACCAGCTGGCTGAGCTTCGGGCCCTGCGCCGACGGAGAGCACGTCTTCGTCGATGGATCAGGGCTCGACCAGAACTGCCCGAGCCTGAGGACGGCTGGCTGGTCCATCATCGTCTACGACAAGCACCGCAGGCCGGTCGCCGAGGCGTGGGGTTCGGTCCCGCTGTCGGCGGGGCCCGAGCAACTGGCCCGAGACGGGGAGGACTACGCCGTGAAGGTCCTCGCCGGCACCATCGCGGGGGGCTCCTTCAAGCTCTACACCCTGCGAGATGCTTAAGAAATCATGGGTTAAGAAATTCATAGTCTCAGAATTTGAATAATTTGAATAAAAACCCAGAACTTCTATCAAAATCTTGAATTTACATTGAAAAGTTAAGAATAATCGAGACTCTGGCCGAAAACTTGGGTTTTCTTAAGCATCGCCTGGAGTGTACTGCGACTGCCTCGCGACGGTGCGCAGCGCCTGCCACCCCGTGGCGACGGCGGCTGCGGGCAGCCCGCGGGCCCACCTCTGGGCTTGGTCGAGCGGAGAGGCCGAAGGGCGCCGAGGTCATCAAAGTCAGAGCCCACCTGAACGAAGGATTGCAAAAAGGATTGCCAAAAAAAACCCTGGACGAAGGATTGCAAAAAACCTTCGAAGGATTGCAAAAAACCCTTCGTTGCAATCCTTCGAGCTGAGAGGCCGAAGGACGCCGAGGTCATCAAAGTCAGAGCCCACCTGGAGCCGCACGCCGCCAGGGAAGGCTTGCAAAAAAACGAAGGCTTGCAAAAAAACAAGATTGCAAAAAACCCGTTTGTTTTGCAATCCGGTTTTTTTTGCAATCCAGGTTGTTTTTCTTAACCCACGGTGTTTTTGTAATATTGTTTTTTGCAATCCTGCGATAACGCAGTCCAAGCTCGACGGCAACGCTCTGGTCGATGCGGGAGCCATAGAAGGCGCCGCGGCAGCGCGGACGGACCGCTGCGACATCCTCAGCGTCGAGGGCTGCCAATTCGTCGCTCGCCTGGCGGCGAGGTTTGCGGCAGAGCAGGAGGTGCGCATCTCGGGATCGGGCCTCCGCGATTCCATGGGGGTCAAGGCCCTGGAGATCATCGACCTCGGTCCGTGGCCCGTGGACCCCGCGGAGGCCTGCGGGGAGGATGCGGCCCTGTTGGCCAGCGCGGACCCCGTGTGCACAGGGGGGAGTCCGCTGCCAGGGCTCGACGGAGCGCTGAGGCCGTGGCGCCTGTGCGGGCACTCTTTGCTCGCTGCGCCCCTCCTCCCCGGGGCTGTGAAAATTCGGTCCTCCTCTTCTGCACTTGTTGTCGGAGGTTGGGGGGTGAAATCGAAAAGGAACGGAATGCCCCCCTTCCGGGAAATCGATTTCGGTTTCGTGTTCGTGCGCGCCGTGCGGGCGAGGCGAAGCTGCGTGGGCGGGCGAGAGAAAGTCTCCTGTGGTTGAGGCGCGGCCGGAGCAAAAGAACCTTGACCAGGCGGCCGGTGCCCCGCGGTGTCCCGCCGGTGTCCCGCTGGTGTCCCGTGTGGCTGAGGCGCGGCGGGGGCAAAAAAACCTTGACCGGGCGGCCGGTGCCGCGCGGTGTCCCGCCGGTGTCCCGCTGGTGTCCCTACGGTGTCCCGTCGGTGTCCCGATGATGACGTGGATGATTATGATGATGATGATGATGATGATGATGATGATGATGATGATGATGATGATGATGATGATGATGATGATGATGATGATGATGATGATGATGATGATGATGTAGATGATGATGATGATGATGATGATGATGATGATGATGATGATGATGATGATGATGATGATGATGATGATGATGTTGGGGCCGTTGGTGATGATGCTGATGATGATGATGATCATGATGATGATGACGTCGGTTGTGAGATCGATTGTGATATCGATAGTGAGACCGCATGTAAAATCGGCCGTGCGATGCTGATGGTGATGATGGCCATGATGGTGATGATGATTGTGATGATGATGATGACGACGTTGATGATGATGATGATGGTGATGGTGCTGATGATGATGATGACGATGATGCGGTTAATGGTGATGTCGATGATGATGATGATGACGACGTCGATAGTGATATCGATTGTGAGATCGGAAGTGAGACCGAATGAGACAGCGAATGAGGTCTGCGACAGCGAATGAGATCGGTAGTGGGACCATAATCTGAGATCGATAGTGCAAGAGGCGGCGCGGGCTGCGCCAAGCTTTGCCAGCGCTTCAGTCTTCTGTGGCCAAAAGGCGCCGTTAACTGCCGTTGCGCAGGTTGGGCAGGTTCCCAGGGGAAGGGTGACGTAAACAACTCGACACCAACGCCCCCAAGAGCGAGCGGCAACGCAACTATCTCCACTGGCACTATCACAACAACATACACCACTGTTGCCCATTGCTGCCCCCCCCCAACCTCCTTATCACCCGCAGGGTGGTCGTATAGGTAGATGTTATGTTTCTGACAGGAAAAGGCGCGGCCTCCAGGATAGCTGTCCAGGTCGGCCGATCCCGAGTAGCAAGAATAATAAAACATCGCCCAGGCAATCATCCCAAAAGGCGGTGCTAGGAGGCTCGGGGATCTCAGGTCTCCCTCGGACCCTCGGATGCCGAAATTCAAGTTTGGTCCGAGCACGTTTCCCCGATGCGTCCTGAGGCTACCCAGGTAGGGCCTGCGTCGGAGGGCCCGAAGAGGCCGTATCTTCTGGATGTACCCCCGCTCCTCGGGCTCCAGCTGGCCCAAGCCCAGCTCTTGGGGTCGAGGGCACTGGAGGCCAGGACCATGGCCCTGGCGGCCAAGCTGCGGGGTCGTGCGGCCTCCCGACCTGGCGACCCCGTCGACCCCTGATCGCTGGCTCCTCCCAGCTGCGGCTGGGGGGAGCTAGGGTCAGGGGTCGGAGGGGCCCTCAGGTCGGTCTGAATTCGTTGTGCATGACCTTTCAGCTCGAGTCTGGCCTCCTCCTCCTCCTCCTCCTTCTCATCCAACCCCTCCTCCAACCCCTCCTCCCCCTCCCCTCCCCCTCCCCTCCCTCCTCCCCCACTTCCCCTCCTCCCCTCCTCTCTCCCCGCCTCATCCTCCTCCTCCTCCTCCTCTCCTCCCTCCTCCTCCTCCTCCTCCTCCTATCCTCCTCTCCTCCTCCCCTCCACCACCATTCCACCTCCCCCTCCACCCCCTCCACCTCCCCCAAACCTGCCCCTCCTCCCCCCTTTCCCCCCCTCCCACTCCTCCCCCTCCTTCCCCCTCCTCCTCCTCCCACTCCTCCTCCCCCCTACTACCCCCCTCCGCCATCCTCATCCCTCGCCCCTCTTCCTCCTCCTCCTCCTCCTCCTCCCCTCCGCCTCCTCCTCCTCCTCCTCCTCCTCCTCCTCCTCCTCCTCATAGTCCTCCCCTTCTTATGTGTATTAGTCGTCGTCTTCTTCGCAGTATTCGTATTCTGAATCGTCATCATATTCTTCTTAGTCTTGTTATTATTCTTCATATTATTGGTATTATGAGTATGTCCGTTCTTCGTCGCAGTATCATTCGTCGCTGTAGCATTCGTCTTCTTGATCTTCCTAGTAGTAATATTAGGATTATTATCATTCGGATTCGTCTTCTTCGGTATCAATATTCTTAGTATGATTAGTATCCTTCTTATTCGTCGTCTTCACTGTCTGATTATTACTACTAGTATTCCGCCTCCTCCTCCTCCTCCTCCGCCCCCCTAGTCCTCCTCCTCCTCCGCCGCCTCGTCATCGTCATCCTCCTCCTCGTCTTCTTCTTATGCTTATGATTATCACTACTATCCGTATTAGTAGTATCATTCGTATTCGTCTTATTAGTAGAATTCTTCTTACTCGTCGTCGTGTTCGTCTTCTTCTTGT